CAAAATATCGCCAATTTGGTCGATAAACTTTCGTCTAGGGCGTCCCTTCCCGACTCTGCCATTCACATCTGCCATACAAATTTGCTTTGTCACTCTTTCCTCATTCATTCTTTCTACATGACCAAACCACCGAAGCATACCTTTCTTAATCCTGGTCAAAACATCATCTTGCACACCACATTTTTCTCTTATCAAACAATTTCTCACGATGTCTCTCAGATTCAGCCCTAGCATACTTTTATTTTTAATATTTATATTTGATTTTTTTTATATATAAATAATTAATATACTTATCGAAAAATCGACCGACTTCGCCTCACGGCATCACCAGTATATATAAGAATAATAATTGTGATCGCTTAACAATAAGATGATTCCGTGAGGCGAAACCGGTCGGTTTTTAAATTAATATAATTTGAAATGAATATTGTGAAACTTGTACAATTATTTTTATCAAAATCACAAAAATCAAGCTGGAGTATCACCAAGTGACGACAATCCCAAGTATACGTTCCTAACTTTTTTTTGTGTGTTTGAGAACGTGTCTCTTGAGGGCCCGAGTACTGTCTATGCTCTATGTAGAACATACGAGTGCACGCCTTTTGAAACCAACCGCAAATGTGGCTCGAATTATCACGACCGATAATTTTCATGGTCAAAAGATAACCGATATAACAAAAATTTTAAATGTTCGCGGAATTCTCGGTGTTGCATAACATCAAATTATCAATGTATTGTAATCTACAACTAAGCAACGAGATTGGAGACGTAAAACGTAGGCAGGAATCGCGAGATTTAGCTTCTTTGTCTTCTATAAATTACAGCTTATAAAACACCACTACTTGAACACTGTGGGATTTTGCCATAGTTGCCACGCTTGGCGGGCGCGCTGGCAACGCAGATTTTTTATTATTTTGTTTTGTTATCAGGAAGATGCTGCTTCCCTTCTCCAGTTAAGTTTCCCTTTGTCGCCCCTTACGACACCCACGGGGCGACATAGGGTAATGGATAGTCTTACACCGCTACTATACTGCCGATGTCTTTATCGTCATCGGATAATCGTTAAAGCTAATAGAAAACTATAAAAAATAAGGAAAGAAACGATAAGTCACGTGACTTTATGATGAGATATTATTATGTCAACACCATTCATATTGATTATAGCTTCCTGCGGTTTCCTAGTCTTTAAGCATACTTTTTAAGAGCTGTCAAAACTTTTATTCTCTTATAGTATAATGACGTCATAGTTTTTACAGTTAAACCATTTACTTAATTGAATACTAAAAATTTAATTTTACTTCATATTAAAAATAGATTAAATTAAATACTAAATGTAGCAAATTCTAATTATATAATGTAGTAATTTATTAATGATGATGCCAAATACCTAAGAATTTAAATTAGCTGCCATTTTACGCTTGCATTCTATGAGAGCGTGGTCCTTCCCCGATCGAGCCGCACCATTCGTGCCACGACCATAGAACTGGTCATGGCTCTACAACGTATTGATGCGAATTGTGAACAATTTATTAATATGCGGGCAAAAACGAATTCGCGCAGTCGTACAACATAATATATGAAATTCTTTAGCACAGTTTATTGCAAATAATGGAAATTACTATTCATAATGGACTGATTGTACGTATAGTATATTGTTGTTTTGACTCATTTTGTTTTTCTACAGGTAGTGAATATTATACATGTTTAATAAAACTAATTTTATGTAATCATGTTTAAGTTTAACTTTTACTATTTATTGACCGATGAAGTGTGCTACAATGCATTCATATTGCCGAGTATCATTTAATGGGATAAAAATTCAAAATATAATTTATAATATATACTGGGTGATTTATTACCGTCTGGAAAAATAGGGTGCAACAGGTGAACGTTATAGAAGCCTGTGACAATGATATTTTACAATTTTTTTTACATTAACATATTATGAAATTGCTCTATCAATAAATACTACTAATTGAGTGCGTATTATATTAACTTCTATAGTTTTAAATTGATTTATTTATTGAGTTCAAAATTTTTGTTTTTATTTTTAATTACCGAAAGTTATTTTCAAATTAGTGGTATTTATCAAAGATACCGCGAACAGTCGTTATAGCGAATAGTCGAAATTCAAATATGTCCAAGTCGAAATCTACGTGATCGCTTTGGAACGGCGTAATATTGACGCACACTACAATGTTATCTCTGTGTGTTGTATTCAACCTGAAAGATAATTAAAAACTATGTTTTTGCATTGCTATGTACTAAATAAAGACATCATCTTTCTAAAGCCCTAATTTTCAGCAAATAATCTCCTCACATCGTTACGATATCGCCTTTGGAAAAACCATAAAACATGTACTTTTCGACGCGAAACGCATATGCCATGCCCTCTTAATAGCCATTACCTATGGGGAATAGTCGAATAACTCGCCATTATTATTCGGCATGAAAAACAATATGAAAAAATCATTTATTTGTAATTAAATAATAATATAACGCTTGAACGTTAGACGTAGTCTTAAACTTACCGATCATTTATTTGTTAGATACTGTAATCTAAAAATTTTCCTAATGTTATGAGAAAATAAAACAATAAAGTTAAAGAAATCAGTCTCATTTATACCTGGTAGAGCCACGCTGCAGCTATATTGTGGTTGCAGCACGAATGGCTCGGTTCGAACGGGGTGGGTCCACGCTCTCACAGAATACCAGCGTAAAAATAACAGTTCAACGCTGCTGTGTTTCGTATGGTGAGTGTAGAGAACCGGAGACCCCTTTTTACCGGAAGCGAGGCAATCCATCTTAGTCATCTGGGGTGATAACGCATCTGCATTTTGATTTTATCCGTATTTTATTTTAAAAAATACTGATGTTGCATTTATAATACTGGCAACCCTTTTCTTGTACCTATTTAATTAATAAAATTTAATTAATAATTAAAATGTATTTTATATAACTATTCACTGAATGTACTAACTATTAATCGGTATTCAACGAATACACAATACAATAGCGAATATTCACAGCATCTCTAGTATTTATTGATAGTTCAATAATATATTATGTTGATGTAAAAGAAAAACAATTATAAAATATCAGTGCCATACGCTTCTATTCCGTTCACCTGTTACACACTAGTTTTTTTCCCGACGGTAGTATTATTTGCAGAACTATAATTAATTATTATGGTATTATAGAATTGTATTCGTAGATGTCTCGTTGGATGACAAATGTTTTACTAAAGCAGTTTGTTTATAAACACAAAAAGAAAGGATGCCGGATAAGAAAATCCATATCGTCCCGTGGATGTCATAAAAGGCAATCGAGGAAAATTGAAATACGAGATTAGCAGCAGCATGTTCCCGCTAACAATCATATAATAATAAAAAACTGCAGTTGCCAAACAACGAGGCAGATCTACGGGGAGGCCTTGTTGGTAGGTGGTTTGTTTCATAGAACTGCGGTCAGCTCAAGAATGCTTAAGTAGAGCAACCTTATTCTCTATCTTTTCAGGATAGGATAGATCTAGAGTTTCTTGAGTGAATGTATTAATCATATACTCAAAATAATAACCGTTTAAAGAAACTCCAAATATCACTTATTTTTGACTTTTTATCCGACTGCCTTAGACAGGTAATGTTTTTCAAGAGTATGCCTGTATGTACGTATGTATGCATGTATGTATGTGTCATTTTCTTTTGGCACACCCTGTAGCCGAAACGGTGTCCTGTCGTTAGATTCGTCTCAGTTGTGGAAGTGACACGGTATATATTTTTTCTTTTCAGTAAACTTTTTAAGCAGTGGATTTTTTTAAAATACTGTTTTAACTTTAGCTTAATTTTAGCATGGTTACTACGCGTACATTGACGGTGTAAAAATGTATACAAAATTATTAACCACTTACTGTCCCTAAACTTTCTTTTAAAGTTACAGCCTATATACGTCCAAACGCTGGGCACATGCCTCCTCTCACTTCTGAGAGGATCTAAAGGTAAATAAGCGTCCGCCGCGCTTATGTACCCAATGCGTGTTGGCGGACTTCACATGTCTTTGAAATTTTTTATTTCTCAGACATGCAGGTTTCCTTACAATTTTTCTTTCACTTCCGAGCAAGGGGTAAATCAGTACTTAAAATTGAAATTAACAAATTCGTTGGTTCCGGCGGAGTTCGAACCCGGGCTTGCGTACTGTGAAAATTACAGCGGGCGCTAATCCCCAGACCTACCACGGCTCTCTGTGTTCAGTGCAAAGTGCTTAGCTTCCTACTAACTTCTTTTACTAGCTAGCTAACTAGCTTTGGATTAGGGATTGAAAACCGGTTCTAAGTTTAGTTACAGTCGCACACTAGGGTTCTAGAGGTTTTTTTACCACTTTTCGGTAATCCCCGCCTCACGCGTCGCCCTATTAGTACCGATACCAGAATTCGCGCCTTCGTAATGTTTTACGTATTTGAAATATTTTTAATATAAAATAAAACTATAAAAAATGTAATTATAATATTTTATAAATTTATAATCGTATCGGATACGTTCCTATTCACGGTTATTATTTCAGTTGACTAAATAAATAATATTATAATATGTATTTTATCTACTTGTTTGCTCTCAATTTTTGTGTAACAGGACGATAAACTACTTACTTAGTTTTGCTCAATTTGACAAAAAATAGTCATCATGTTTATGTGATATAATAGATAAACATAATTAAATTTGAGGTTTTACGAATTGATGAAGAAGATTCAGAGCTTTTTATGTAATATTGTACATACAACGTAATGAAGCATAGGTCTAATAAATAATTAGATTACAGTGTCATATAACCAAATACGCAAACGCAATTCAATTTTAAGTCGTCGTTAAGTCTCGTGGTGTCACAGTCATTTTGACTTAAAATGATACGAGACAATTACGAGACTTAACCGCAACTTTAAATCGAGTAGGGTTTGAATATTCGCCAATAGTATTTTTTCTAAAATAAAATTAATAGGCCGTACTCACCAACCGAGGTAGGGCCGTTGGGCTTCACCATCGCGTTCTCCTTTTCCTTCTCATCCTTGTCCTTGTCCTTGGGCTTCTCTTTCTCCTCCGATCTCACTCGCTCTCTGGGCTCGCGTATCCTTTGCGGCTGCGGCGTGAGGGTAAGAACGGGAGGTGAGACGGTCGCGGGTGTGGGGTTTGATGCGAAATTAGGGAATGAAATTGGGGACAAAGTTTGGGGTGTCAGTGGGGGTGGCAACGGGCGTAGGTATTGGGGTGGGATTCGGAGTGGGAGTGGGGGTGAATGTCGGTGCAGTGGCGGGTGCGGCAGCTTGGACGGGTGCGGGCGGCTCCGCTCCAGTCTCCGCCACAGGCACTGACGGCGCTATCGCCACTGGCGATACCGTAACGCCAGTCGCCGGAGCGGCGGTCTCCACCGGCTTCTCGGCGTCTTCGGCTTGAGGCACGTGCGGTTTGTTTTTTTGCTGCTTATTTTTGTACGTGTTCGCACTCTTATTATTATTATCTAACGCTAACGTTTGACTCTGTTCACTAGTCTTTTGTAACTGCTTTATATTTGTAGGCATTTTAGGCACTATAACAGGACTGTCTGATATTGCTGATACCACGGGAGTTTCGCTCGGCTCTCCAACAACATCAGGTCCTGAAGTTTTATTTTCATTAACATTTAAAATATCAGACTTTACTATATTATTATTATTAATAGAATTTATTGCATTCGTTTGAGGTTGCATAGTTATTGCTACGGGGGGCGGGGTCATTTCCACGCTCTTGTGCCCGAAGACCGGCTTCATGGCACTCTCGCCGACTGATTGGTTAGCGATCGACTCGTTCACTAGTCTGGAGAACTCCTCCGCTATGCTGTGCGACGGCGGATCCTGCTGATATTAGGAACGATTAACACAAGAGTCTATTACACCTCACTGCTAAACAAGGGTTTCTTAAAGCACTGCTCGTCTTTTCTTTAGAGAATATGCTTACAAACAAACACACAGTCCACCTGACGGTAAGTTAAGAATCTAAATGCAAATGCATTGCACCCCTGAGGACTAACATGGACGGATGAGTCTCTGGTTCTCTACACTCACCATACAAAAAACAGAGGCATTGAGCTGCTATTTTATTTAATTTTTAATTAATTAATTAAATTTTAATTAAAAAAAAAGAATTATTAAAAAAATTAATATAACAATGCTATAAACATTACTAATATTCCCCTTAACCACTCCTGGTAAGCTTAGATTGCTTGTGTTACTCATCTTGTCTGAGTCATTCATATCTGGTTTTATTTAGTACTATTGAAGATGTCGCTACTGGTTATAAATTACTCTAGTAAATTATTTAAATAAAACTATTAGAATTATAACACTAAATAAAAAAAGAGATTTATAAAAACAATGCTAAATATAAGTGTTCGTTTATATTTGACTGATATGAAAGAACGAGAAATGACGAGTGGTTCACGCCAGTAGTCGAATGGCGGATTCGAACCCACGACCTTTTTGAGTTCGCGGTCCGCGCCCTGCCATTAGGCTACTGTCGCTTTTAAATCTCGCTCATCGCTTTTTATCTTATATTTAATCCTGGTATTATGTGAGAAAGTGGCCGCGCGGTCGATCAAACCCATATGTGTTACAACTATAATATAGCTGCAGCATGACTACCACGTAACGTCTTTATTAGTTTCCTTAATACCATTATTTCAAGAACACATATACATATGATTTTTTTTCTTTAAACTAACCCGCACACCAACTAAATTAGCTTTTCATTAATAGATTATATTACTATATCTATACATAAGATACACACCTCATAACTACAATAATTGTCGTATCACGTCAGATCAAATTAATTTTAAACATTTAATTTGTGCTGACATCATATGCTCAGTGTTAATTTACTCGTATTTTAGTTAATTGGCATTTGCTATAATGTAAAGCTTAATTTTTTTTTGACAAACATTGATTCTTTGAGAGGAAACTAAAGAAACGATTAACAAATATGATGCATAGGTACGTATCCGTATGTATTATGTTTGTAAATATTATAACTACTTATAAAACTAAACGAGACTTAGCTATTAAGCAAAATGACAGTGACAACCCTGAAACAGTAGGAATTTAAGTCACGCGCGGCGCAGAAAAAATCCTACTATTCTGTTTTTGCTACGGTACTGTAGTGTTCGTCTAGTAGTATACAACACCAATATGGTGAAACCCCTCTGTTACCTCCCCAAAAAAACAGAGCCCGTACCCAACAGTGAGCAATAGGACGGTCATAATAAACTAGCACTTATGTAGTATATGTGTACAACTTAGTTTTAACAACACAAGCATAGTCACACTATAACTTACCGGTTGCGGAGTTTGCCTCTCACTCGATTCACCGCTCATTAAGTAAGTGTCGTCGTTGTACAGTTCCGTGAGCACCTCTTGATCTGTTGACAATAGTACATTTCCATTCGAAATAATATTTTATAGGGAAATTCATCCATCCATTACAGCTTAATAAAAGACCAGTAAAAGTCCACTGCTGAACAAAATAGTCCCTTATATCTATAAGGGACTATTTTGCCCTATAGAAGGATTTTGCCATAGTTGACACGCTCGGCGAGGGGGTTCTCAACCAACAGTTTAAAAAAAACTCTCACGCCTGTCACCCAGAGAGGTAGGCAGAGACTACAGACTCCCATTTAGCATGATACTGACACACCTCTATCGCTTCCTCCACATTCATACACCTACGTATACATGCTCGTCGGTTAAGGGTACTCCTAATTTGGCCCATTTTCAATATATTGCAAATTTGGTCGATAAACTTACGCCTAGGACATCCCTTTCTGACAGTTCCATTCACTTCTGCAACATAAATTTGCTTTGTTTTGTGGCGGCGCTGTCGTCGCGCCACAAGCGAAACACACCGAAGCCTAAATCACGCTATCAACATTCCGAATCATAAACAGTATATATAGAACTTCTCCGAACTGTCACTTGTAGTGTGAGCCGCTCCCCGGGCAGAACAACTTGCCCGGCGGGAGATCTCCCCTTTTCCTTCTACGGCCACAGTGGTGACCACCCGACGTGATATGAACACGCAACCAAACAACCTTCGGAAACTTCAAGCTTCATCATCGTCATAGAATTTTTTTTAATTATTTTGAATTGTTATTTTTTTCTCTTTCTTTTTTTGTATTATTTGTTTATTAGGAAGATGCTGCTTGCTGCCCGTCACCTGTTTCAATTTTCCTCTGCCGCCTCTCACGACACCCATGGATGTGGATATTCTCACACAGTCACTATACGGTCATTATAAGAAATTAATTTTAAACAATTCTTCGTCTAGTTCCCTAGTTGCTTAAAGACACCCGACGGTCGACCCGACACCCAGGTCAAAATGGGGTTATGCAAATACATCTGAATTATATACAAAGACTTCTCTATGTATGCTACAAGTACGGCAATTCAGAACAAAAACTGTCACAGCTGTTGATCGCGAGGGCGCAGATGCTGGCGGGTACCCGACACGGTAAATATGCCACGCAGTTGTATTCCTGTTTTTAGGCAAATACGACAAAAATTTACATACTTATATGAAATAAACTTCAAATCACGTTTACAAAGTGCACACATAAATCATTCAATGATTTAATCACACAATCAATAATTTTTACAAAACAAAGAATTTGTTTTCTCGCCTCCTCGCAGTAGACTAAAGGATTTACGGAGAACTGACCGTAACTTATTGCACAACCACAATGTATAAAAGGCTACAGAGCCTGTCTAGTAGTATACATAGAAGTCTTTGATTTATTATATATTATATATTAAAATACAATTAATACCACATGAGTAGATAAACGGCACAGAGATAAAGCTTCATACAACCGCACGAATCGGTTGCACTACTACAAGCACGCGGGGCGTGTGTGCGTGACCACTGGCTGCTTGTCGCAAAACGCGGCGAAACTGGAAAAGCCGGTTACGCTCGCACAGCCAGTGGACAATCTCAGGGTCAGTGCGACGTACGTTGTTTGTTTTGTTATAATTACTTTGACTATCCCAAGGAGTACAATTGGTAAGTAAATATTCGATTATTACTTTTTCAAGTATATGTTTGTATCTACCTTTATTTTATGGTATGATCCTTTTTTTAATAAGAAGAGGGTACTAACTAGTGTGTTTTTTACCTTTTTATCTTTATTACAAGCTTTTACTAAGCATTTATGGTATGTATGTTAGGTTCACATAATGTCTGATTGAGTTAGTTTTGTAAACCGTAACTTCAGTGACAATGCAATAATATGATATATATAACGTGGTGCTGTAGTCAGGATTATCTCCTCACTAAGGAACCCTTTAATGGGTAGTAGTAGAGTTACGAATTTTGTATGTTAGTTTAAAACGTTTTTTTATCATGAACTGCTGCTGTAACCAACTTGTCTCCTTACGAGGGGAACTATTTAACGGTTGGTAGCATGGACCAACACATGGCATTTAATTCTGTTTGCTAAACATGATCTTCACCATAAACTGCTGCTTCAGATAGGATAGTCTCCTCACGAGGGAACTCCTCAAACAAAACTAAAAAATTATAAAAAGAAAATTATTATTGTAAGTAATTTGTAAAGTATTCTATCATACTGAGTAGTAAAACTAATAAACAAATGTTTTGTTCTTCATCTATTGTGGCAACCCTTCCAAAATAGGTAACAATTTTGCTTAGTTCTTAAGAAGCTTTGCCTTTGTTCCGTTTATCTACTCATGAAATTAATACAATCTAATAAATGTGCAATCGATAATTTACACGCTGGGACACTACGAGTAGAACGCAATACGGTATATAATTGTCTCTAGTTAATAATATTTTCCATTAACTTTGGTCACGACACCCACGCCACGAGGTGACATGTGATGTTAACATAATGAAGAGGTAAGTATATGGAAAGAAACTTTACTTACGTGCGTCCGGGTGTATAATCGGTACTCTGTGGCTGCGTTTCGTGTGATTTGGCCGTATACCTGTAATGCATTGGTCGATTAATGTACTATATATGTAGCTGACTTCAAGAAGAGAGAAGTTCTCAATTTGGCAGTATTCTTTTTCTTTTTTATATTTATGTTACGCGATATCTTCGCCAATAGACATCTACAATATTTTCTGCCACCACCAGATCGGCACCACTTAGGAATGAGATGATATATTTGACAGATATCATTGCGGGGGAAGTTAGTTCGTTAGACAAATGTAGTTTCTTCCTCAAATATTAGTTATAATTTATGTTGATTAGATTAGAAATTAATAAAACAAACCACGGATATTTATTAAGGTAGAAGAATTTAAAAAAAGTAAAAAGTTTGTAAAAATTAAAGAACAGTAGTACGGCATTGTTTTGTTCATTTACATAAACAAAAAAAATACTTTTATTTTAAACGCAACTTTTTAATGATGATTATGTGTGACCAGAATAAGTTCACCTCAGTATCACAATCAATCAACAAGCATACATCGTAAGTAGTGCGTTTAGCCCTCTTTTTGAACTGATCGAATGATATTTTTTTATTAAATAGCCTTTTTTACTTAATGAATGGCCCGATATCAATTTGGAGACAATATACGGAATATTATAATACTCAAGTCTCACGTCATTAAAAGCTAGCAAGCTACTCGTAGTAAGTTACTAGCATCAAAACTTTTTTACAGGTAGCTAGTTTCACTAGATTACCAAATTAATGACAATCATTTTATAGTGGTTTGAAATACTAGCCTCGTGTCACCCAAGCAACTCTGTATCATATCGCTGAAGTGACTGTCTAGCAGAGGCTTTTAAGCGCTATGATTATTTGAAATAGAAACAAACTTTTTTATTCAATATACAGTGTCCGGTAGGAAAGTTTATTTTTGATTTAAGAAAAAGAATACTAAGTTAATGAATACAAAATATTTATTAATATGACAATATTAAAAAACTCAGCGGGTTTTATTTTTTGAATATCATTTCCTCCAAATGTTTACCATCTCTTCGTACACATTCTTCTAATCAGACTTGTAAATTTTCAAACACTTCTTGCAGAGTTGCGAGGAGATATTGTTTATTTCGTGCCGGATATTTTCTTTCAGCGTCGTTAGTGTTCGTGGTTTGTTTGAATAAACTTTTGACTTTAGATGACCACGGAAAATAATCATATGATTTGAGGTCGAGCGACCAGGGTGGCCAGCAGATGTCTCCAAACTTCGATGCCATTTTTTGTGGAAAAAGTGACTTTACCGTGTCACTCTCGTGGTAAGTGGCTCCATTCTATTGAAACTATGTGTTTCTGTTAAAACGGCGTTCTATTCTTACAATAGGAGCAAAAAATGTCGATCATGTTCTTATATCGCTCCGAATTGACCGTCAAAGCATGACCGTACTCATTCTCAAAATAAAAAACCGGCCCAATAACCCCACTAGAGGCTATGGCGCACCAAACAGTCACCTTTGGATTATGTAACTGTCGTAGGTGTCTCTCTTTTGGGTTCGTTGATGCCCAATATCTGTAATTATGTTTATTGACATAGCTCTCCAACTGAAAATGGGCCTAATCGTTAAAAACAACGTTATTGAGTCTACGTTGTGTAGGAAAATCTTCCAACATCTTTTCAGCACAAGATTTCCGTAATAAGTAATCACTTTTTTTTAAATCTTGCATTAACTGTATTTTATAGGGATGAAGATGCATTTTTCTATGACGTGAACTGTTGATTTAGGGATTCCTGAAGGAGCTGAATGCTTAAGAACACCGCGAATTTGCAAGGACCGAATCACTTACTCGGCGCGCATTTTCCTGGGTTGATCCCATTAATCAAAAAATGGCCGCCTGGCCTGGAATGTGTTGATTAATGGAAGAACTTGTTTCACGAAACTACTTAATCCACTTTTTCACAAGGTTTACATTTGGGGCGTATCTTGGTCGGCGAATATTGTACTGAGAATAAAATATCCGAAGCGCAGCAGCGCACGAGTCACCGCTCTTAAAGTAAGCTTCGACAGCAAAACCACGTTGTGCTACGGTCCAACGCTCCATCGCGAATGTTAAACCCGCACGCCTGACGCGTCTATTGAGGCTCTCCACACCTCACCGGGCCAACCGTTGCTGTGTAATTCAAATTTGAAAATTGAACTTTCCTACTGGACACCCTGTAGATTATAAATAATACTTATTTAAAGTCACTGTTCTGTTTAATTACCACTGGTTCGGAAAAAATACCTGTGTCCTGGGAAGAACCAACTAGAAACCCAGCGAGACTATTTTTAAATAACAATCATGTTTATTACATAATAATTCAACACAAAACAAATTAGCAAAGTTTGTTAGCGATCACCTCATTCTCGGGAATTATTATCATCCATATGCACAAATTCCTTAAAATTATAATAGCCATTTTTATACAAACTTGGTTTAATAAAGGTTTTGAACTTTGTACGCAAAATTTTGCAGGTCAAATTTTGTATATTTTCTGGGATTTTGTTGTAAACGCGTATACATCGCCCCAAGAATGAATTACTGACTCGGTAGTGTCGAGTAATTGGTACCACTAACTGCTCGTAGTATTTACAGAATGACTATCACTTATTTTTGTTAAACTACTTTTATTTTTGTGTACATACATTACATTTTCATAAATGTATTGAGAAATAACATACTCACGCCTGTCACCCAGAGGGGTAGGCAGAGACTACAGACTTCCATTTAGCACGATCCTGACATACCTCTCTCGCCTCCTTCACATCCATATACCTACGCATACCATGCGCGTCGGTTAAGGGTGCTCCTAATTTGGCCCGTTTTCAATAAATCACCAATTTGGTCGATAAATTTTCGCCTAGGACGTCCCTTTCCGACTCTGCCATTCACTTCTGCAACATAAATTTTCTTTGTCATTCTCTCCTCATTCATTCTTTCCACATGACCAAACCACCGAAGCATTCCTTTCTTCATCCTGGTCACAACATCATCTTGTAAACCACACTCTTCTATTATCTACAACCGTATTATTTAAGAAATAATGTGAAATTATATACCTTTGTGAAGAGAAAAAAATAAAATGATTTATTTATTACTATTTATTCATCACACAATTTCTCACCCTGTCATTCAGATTCAGTCCTAACATACTTCTTAACGACCGCATTTCTACTGCGTTCATTCTACTCTCGTGCTTCTTCTGCCACACCCAACTTTCACTACCATACGTTAAAGTAGGGACCAACACAGCATTGTGAATTGCCATACGTGCCTTTTTCGACACATTTTGACTCTTTACAATAGAGTGTAGGGCCCCATTTACTCTATTGCCTGCATTCACTCGTCGTTCTATATCTTTATCATATCTCCCATGCCTGCTAAATACGCTACCCAAAAATAAAAACTCATCTACTTGTTCGATCAACTCCCCTTCTATTCTTATTTCAAATATCGTTTTACTTTCTTCTCTTTCAAAAACCATAACTTTCGTCTTACTTGCGTTCACTTTCATACCCCTTTCTTTTAGTGATCTGTTCATTAATGTAACCATCATTTGCAACTCGGCCGCCGATGACGCAAGAACAACTTGATCATCGGCGTACAAAAGGCATTTGACGGTTAACTCACCCATTCTTAATCCGCATTCTTCAACTTTCAAATTTTGCAAACAACTGTCCATAAATAAGCAGAACAGCCACGGGGAAGCCACACAGCCCTGTCTGACACCTTTGTGGATGCCAAACCAGTCCGAGAAGACCCCGTTGATCCTAACACAAGCACTAGAGTTTCTATAAAGAGACTCCAATGCCTGTATCAAGCTAGCGCTCAACCCAAATGAGTTCAGTGTTTGCCATAGCACATCCCTATCCACTCTGTCATAGGCCTTTTCCAAGTCCATGAACGCACAAAAAACCTTTTGGTTTTAGGCCAAAAACTTCTCCGCGATCATGCGCATGGAAAGACTTGATCTGTACATCCCATTTCCTTTCTAAATCCCGCTTGCACATCCCAAATTTTTTTCATCAGTTTCTTTCATGACCCTTTCAATCAGTACCTTAGCATACAATTTTACCACAATGCTAAGAAGGCTGATACCGCGGTAGTTTTTACAGTCCTGCTGCGACCCTTTTCCTTTATATACTGGGACTATCACGGCTTTGCACCAGTCTACCAGTACCCGCTTAAGTTCCCAGCATAAATTAAATATTAAAGTATTGAGAAACCAAAGCTAATATTCATTGACTTAAATTTTTGTCTAAACAACCCTTTAGATTTTAAATTATAGATTACTATTATGGCCCTTTCTGTAAAACAAATACAATTTCAGAGTCAGTCGCGGTCCCCATAGCAAAATACCATACGACATTATGCTATGGAAATAGCTAAAGTAAACTAGTCCAGCTGTTTCAACACTGGTAAGATTTCTAATCTTTTTTGCAGCATATACTGCTAAATTAAGTCTGCTTGCTAGTTTTGATATATGGGGGCCCCATTGAAGCTTGGCGTGCAGTGTGATTCCAAGAATAGTGGTGGTATTTATAAGATTCAGCTCCTTCCCATTGAAAATTACACTGGCATTTGGAGTTATGAATGTCTTACATTTATTTTTAGTGCCATTTAAATTCAAATTATTAACATGAAACAAATTTACTAATCTAGATATAGCATTATTTACTTCGTCATAATGTATTAACTGCCGTTTTAATTTGAAAATTAATGAAGTGTCTTCAGCAAATAATAATGTATATAGTAATAATATGAAAAGTTTACAAGAAACAGAAAAGTACAGAAATAGATCTAAAACTGGCGAGTTGCAGTGTACTACCAGATTTATTTATACATTATTAAATCAGGAAACACACCAAATTCGATACTAGTATTAAAATAATAGCAAGTAGAGGTGCGATTGTATCTATTATAGATGCATTAACTTTAAAATTATGCAATAAATTTAACAGTGAACATTACAATGGAGATAATGAATTTATACGAAAATATTTTAATGTAGTTAAAAATATTTTTCTCAAATGCGTTTTAGTCAGATATATGAAGGAATAATTATTGTATAAAGGTACAATTATTTCGATTAAAACACAAAACACATTTTGATATTTCATTCATCATTTGTAAAAAAAATGTTATGTGGATTCACATGAATTTTATTTGGAAAGCTTTGGATTGATATTAGATATTATATCTTTGGCCTGTAGTGGTGGTGTAAGATAATAATACATTTGCAATTACACTAATACAATTACGCCTCTCGTTGATCATATCGTGAGTGTCGTAAGAGGCTGCAGAGGGAAATAAAACAAAAGACAGCAGCAAGAGGGCAGCAGTATCTTTCTGTTAAAAAATAAAATACTAAATAATAATCTGCGGTTGCCAACCAAGCGTGGCAATTATGGCAAATATGGGTATTCAACATTAGACTCTTCATAGGCTGTAAACGAACAAACATTTCAGGCTCCTTTTGTTGCTAGTACGCATGGTATATAGGGTTGTGGGTATTCTCTATTCTTACACTGCTACTGTATGTAACTTTTCAACTAAGATATATTAAGACGACACATCGAAAATAAACGCTTAAAATGGCTCCGCCCATTCCACCCCGCGCCCCGCTTGCGGCACTCGTCACTCGGATCCTAAAATTTCAAACTCGCGCCAAATGCTCAATCGGAGGTAAACGTGCGATATACAGAAAGGAACAAGCAAGCGTGGGAGTCGCGACACACTATTACTTTTAATGTTTTTTTAATATTTTGCATCATTTATTGTCTTGTTGTATAATAAAATGTAACTGTATATGTCATTGTTGTTGTCGGCATGTTAGTTTATCAAAATAGAAATCAACAAAGCTTTTTTTTTAATTTATTGAAATAATAACTAAGTCATAATTTTTAAAACTGATTATATTGTATAACAGAATTTGTAACTACGTTTTTAATGGTATTTTATTCCTCTTCTTTTTTAGGGCCATTATGCACATTTTCTTTATTTTTCTTTTTTGTTACATTATTTGGATCCCGAATTTGTTTATTACGAGTAAGTCGCGGTTCTACCAATTCCGGTAGCAAGCAGTGAAAATAAAATGAAAGTAGTTTTTCTCAATTTTATCCTTCCAAAATTGGTCATCCTTTACTATTGTTTCCACTTTGATTTAATTACGTCTGTACCATACTGCCAATAAGCATTTAAATATTTCGGAAATATGCACCTGTCTTTGCAAGTTGCATGTACCAATCAGAATTTTGTTCACCTGGATTACACCACTTTTTATTTACCCGCCAGAAATGCATTTTTTCTTGTATTATGACTTCATCAATACCGACCTTGTATGCAATTATGGGACATGTGATTTCAAACAGGGTGTTACTTTCTATAAAACTGTCAGGCGTTGCTCCTAAAAATGGATGATTTTTGTCTATGAATAAACGACAAGGGTCTATCTTTAGGTCTAGTAAATTTGATATTTTTTACTGTAGTAGCGCAACTGTTGGTTTTAATTCGTGTGACAATCTTCCCAAAATTGGAGGTTGCAATAATAGAAAAAAAAACTCGTTAATATCACTAAGAATAATATAGAGCACATTCACAGCGTCTCCATCGAATTACTGTCCTAATAGTGCGTATTGAGTTGTATAACGACCAACGGAATGTGACCTCCACCGACGTACAAAGCCTAGGTTGAAGCAGGCAAGCTTATAGTGGATATAACAAGAGTGTGGAGTCCCGATGCCTTATCTAGATATACGGCCAGTAGGTATATGGATGTTGTCAATATACCTATATAGGTAGCATTTAGTCAAATTTTATGTTTTATTCCCGCAAAAAATAACTAAAATGCAGCTATAAGCAACCACGCGTAGAAAACCCAATGATTCAAGTGTCATTTAACGTGGTGGAGTCATGCTGCAGTTATATTATGTATTAGTAGTTGTAGCAAAAATGGGCCTGCTCGTCCGGGGAAGGACCACGCTCTCACAGAATGCCAGCGTGAAATAGCAGCTTAATGATGCTGTGTTTCGTATGGTGAGTGTAGAGAACCGGAGACCCTTTTTAGACTACTGGAAACGAGGCATTCCACCTAAGTCCTTACGGGTGACAACGCATCTGCATTTTGATTCATAATCGAGAATAGATGTAGATGTCTATGGGCCACAACAACCACTTACCATCAGATGGACTGTGTACTCGTTTGTCACCCTATCCTATAAATAAATAAATAAAAAATACTTATTCACTGCTTGGCTTTCTAATTTAAGGTGTTTTTAATTAGTGGAAATATTTTAATCCTTTGTACCAGATGATAATTAATAGTTAGTTTTAGTTGTATATGAAACAATTTGTGCGAGATTTTACTGTTTCGCACCAGGGAGTTGGCTATTAATTAGCTAATCATTCACAGAGTGTTATTGGACTTCTCGTTGGAAATTTAATCCATAAAAATATTCTATCAAGAACGACATTTTACTTCAAAAAGTTAATAGTTAAAAACACATTTTTAAAATTAAGCTTTTATTTAAATACTTTATTAAGAAGAAAATTCATTTGATAGTCATAATAATATCATGGGAACGCATAAAAATAACTAGTGCGCCATATTGAATGTAGATGGTGGGTGGACCGTCATTTTGAATTTAGAATGACGTCACTTGGTTAACCATGCATTAATACCTAAAGTAAACTTATATGTAAAATTTCTGCTCATGCGGTTGTTCAGTTGCAAGATTTGACCCGAACGACCATACACACATTGCAAATTAAAGAGAAGCTCGTAATAATTTAAAATAAAAAAACACCGTAACAATAAGAGCTTTCTTTTTTAATTCAACTTTCGTGAATCATAAAGAAAGAGAAGCAGTAACTTTTTTATTCAATATAGATTATAAATAACATTATTATTGAAGTTAATTCAGGCAGGTCACTCTTTTGTTTAATTTGTTTATTTTACCATTGGTTCGGAAAAAACTTTTGTTCTGGGAAGAACCAGAAGGAAACCCAGAGGGACCTTTTTAAATAGCCTATAATCATATATGTTACACAATTAACAACACAAAACAAATTAGAAATAGCTTGGTAACGATCATCTCATTCCTAGGTGTTACTAATAAAGATCTAAGAACACTTTGATCAAGTTTAAAAAAAACTATATCTAAATCGGTTTTATCCGTTTCGAAGCTACGATGTCACAGATACACATGTTAAACATATACCACCCTTTTTTAGTCGGGGGTTAAGAAAACTATATGTTAAACATTTGCTACCCTTCAGTATAGTACAATATTAGAGTGGTGTACTTACCCGGCATCGCGGAGTGCATGTGCGGCGGTGGGGGCGCGTGCGCGATAGCGGGCGCGGGCGCGGTGGGCGCGGCGGGCTGTGGCCCCACCAGCGGGCCCCCGGCGCCGCGCCCCGCGCCCGCCGCCACCCCGCCGCCCGCCAGCTGTTGGCTGTTCGAGTAGTAGTCTGTGGACGAATGACAACATCAAGTAAACATTTTTTTTTATAGAAGAGGGGGCAAACGAGCGTGCGGCTCACCTGATGTTAAGTGACTACCGCCGCCCATGATCAACCCCAACGCCAGGGGAATTGAATTGCAGGTGCGTTGTCGGCCCTTTAGAAAGCAGTAAGCTCTTTTCTTGAAGGTCCCCAGGTCGTATCGGTCCGGAAAAATCGCCGGTGGTAAACTATTCCACAGAGAGGTCGTACGCGGAAGAAAACTCCTTGTGAAACGTACAGTGGTAGACCGCCAAGCATCCAGATGGTGTGGATGGTATCGGGACGTTTGCCGCGTAGTGCGTTCACAAAATTTGGCGGCTGGGATTAATCCGAACAATTCCTCACAGCACTCCCCATGGTATATGCGAAAAAAATGCAAAGAGATGCAACATCTCTTCGCAGCGCCAGTGAATCGAGCCGATCGGAAAGCACTCGGTCGTCAACGATTCGAGCCGCTCTGCGCTGGATGCGGTCAAGTGGAAGGAGCTGGTACTGGGGAGACCAGCCCAGAGATGGGAACAGTATTCCGTGTGCGGCTGAACCTGCGACTAAACATAGATAATTCAGCGACATTCCTTGCGTTATCAGAGTAACTCAGGCGCAGTTTACTGCACCGGCTCATTGCATTAACTTAAAATTGCGTGGCGGGCAAGAAATTTTAAACAGATCTGTCAACTCAGCGATCGATCAAAATAAAACCGTGAGGCCAGTAAGTAAAATAAAATGTAGAAAAGAAACATTACCTACATATTAGGTACTATGTATCACACCTTTTACATTTCACAGAGTTGAAGTTTATATAAAAATAAAAAACCTAAAATAACAACATCTTCACACCTTTCTAATTTCCCGGTACTACACTATGCGCCAACACATTTTAAAGAAATTAGTTAACACATCGGCGCAATGAACTGAGTTAGCGGAATTGTGCATCGCAGCGCAGTAAACCGAATTGGCGAAATTGCACAGCACTGAGTTACCCATGTCTACAGTCAAGTTATAACTAAAGACGTTTAATCGCTACTAGGACTAGCGTCATACTAACTTAAAATTCTGCGGTTAAAACAATTGCATGAGAGCCCACGCAAAAATTCAGCATTTTTCATTTGTCTACTCAGCATCTGACTGTGACCTGCATTCAGTACATTCTGCTGACGCAGACATCTCGGTGGGTCTCGACATACGTGACAAGCCGTTAGCAGGCGAGCTGATATAGATTACTTTTATTTGTTTCTATTTACAACACCTACAACTTTTTATGAATATACAATAACAATAACTCATAAATGATTACAATAGCCAATTATAAATTCCCTATTAATGTAAATCTAAGCTTTACATTCATATATATAAATTACGTGTCACGTTGTGTCGTCGGTGAGAATTTTATCATTTTCGCATTGGTGTCAGTATTTTACATCGGTAGTGATCCATTTAATACTTGTTAAAATAACAGTTTATTCAATTTCTTTGCGTCAAGAATCTTAAACGGTCTTTATTTTCACCCGACTGGCCCGAGAGACTAGTCCAAGAGAAAGGTTACATGTTATTCTTTTTTTATATAGGATAAGGGTGACAAACGAGCGCACAGTCCACGTGATGGTAAGTGGTTGCTTTGGCCCATATACATCTACATCTATCCTCAACTATGAATCAAAATGCAGTTGCGTTGTCACTTGAGGACTAATATGGAATACCTCGTTTCCATTAATGGTCCTTCCCCGGTCGAACCGACCCATTCGTGCTACAACTATATAATCTTAATATATATATATATATAAATTACGTGTCACGTTGTTTGTCCGCGATGGACTCCAAAACTACTTTACCAATTTTAATCAAATTTGCACACCGTGTGTAGTTTGGTCAAATTTGAGAGATAGGATAATTTTTTTGCCCACGAGTGACCCAGAATATTTTTTACGAATCTAAGGATTTTGAATAGGACATGGCCAAAGGGTCGTCGAAAAGGGCAGAACAACGTCTGCCTGGCAAGCTAATATTTATATATAAATTACGTGTCACGTTGTTTGTCCGCGATGGACTCCTAAACTACTTAACCGATTGTAATCAAATTTGCACATCGTGTGCAGTTTGGTTCAACTTTAGAGATAGAATAGTTTTTTGCGCATGAGTGACCCACAATTTTTTTAGGAATAGTGGTGTTGGGAGTAGTGGTGCTGGGACTAGTGGTGACGGAGTTAGTGCATGCAATTGAGGGAGGGCGGAAGGTGCTCTTCAATCCAGGTAAGACACATCATTGTATTTATTTAGCGGAAGGTTGCGAAGAAATTTATATTTTTATTTTTTATTATAATGGCTTTCCGCGAAGTATCGCCTGATTCTATCAATTACAATTTTTTTTGCTAATTTAAGGATTTTTAGGACATGACAAAGAGTCGTCGAAAAGGGCAGAACAACGTCTGCCTGACACGCTAGTATTATATATAATATATCAATAATATACAACATATGAAAAGATGAAATATACTTTTATTTCTGTATTATTTCATTTTACACTTTTTCACACTAAAGATACAAATGGTGGACGTAATGACACATGATATTTTGTGCCAACTATAAAGTTATTGGGAGAATTGTGTAGCAGTGAGGTAGAATTGTTTCGACACAATTTTATTAGATAGCCGGTATGAATTTATGATTGTGATGCAATTTTATAATTCAGTCTCCACAAAATGTCTGTGTCTGAATAATCTGAAATTTATGACACTACGAAAATTATTACGAACATAACCTAGTATTCTTACTAACATCAACAAAACTCATGATCACGGCATATTGTTTAAGTGTTTTAACTCATATCATTTTGTAAGTGATGTAAGAGTAACAGATTATTTAAAGGCGACGCCATTCGGCGTTTTCTCTAACAGTAGCGTTTACAGCTAAATCCTATATATAAAAATCCGTAACACGACACACAATTATAATGTGACGCTATTACCAACTGAACTTAATTAAAAATAATATAAAATTCACTGTCATGTAACGCATTTATCTTTTTTTTTGTCGAGTTGGGCCCATAGATATAGTATAATATAGATTGGCAATGGAGTGATTAGGGCGACACCAAAACCAAAATATACTTAACACACTTTCTATTTTTCCGTTTTTTTATTTATTTATGATAGGGTGACAAATTGCTGTGGCCCATAGTCATCTACATCTATCTTCGATTACGAATCAAAATGCGCGTGGTCACCCGTGAAGACTAACATGAATGTCTCGTTTCCAGTAAAAAGGGTCTTCAGTTCTCTACACTCACCATACGAAACACAGCAGCATTAAGCTACCATTTCACGCTGGTATTCCGTGAGAGCGTGGTCCTTCCCCGGTAGAGCCGAATCATTCGTGATACAACTATACTACTAACTGCAGCATGGTTCTACCACGTATGCGTATTGCGATAGTAATATTGCTGGTAGTGTAAACGGTTTTGCAAGTACTTGCGCAATAACTTGGCAGAAATTCTTGCAAATCTAAACCCCACTTAAGACCTTGGATTTCATTAAAGGAAAACACAATAACATGTAATTTTCTCGATAGGAAAAAATTGCAAAGCGGGCTTAATTAGTTACATTTCTCCATGACACCAAAATATTTTTACGAATAAGTTCATGGAATTATTTTTAAGGCATAGTAAATAATAATATCTAAGTACTCATAAATCATTTTTTTAAATTCATAACAAAGTTTTGTTAAAAAAATGCATTGACGCTTACGTAAGCTTTTTACTATACCGAGTTTTTAGAATACTATGCCGAGCGCGTGCTCGGTATAGTATTCTAAAAATTTGCGTATTATGTGAAGTCATTGCATCACTTTCATTTTGACACTCCCCCAGTCGCCGGTGAGCTTCACCGACAAAGGGTTTCGTCACGCCTCTAAAACTACGATTTATTTTCAAGGTATCCCCTTAATTTGAGAAGTGTACTGTAGCAGCGGCACCAGCACAGTGCTGCTGTGTTTCAAATGGTAACTAGAACTGGCGACTCCTTTTACTACGCAGTATCGCATTCCATATCAGTGCTCAGGGGTAACAACGCATCTGCATTTTGATTTTCCATCGAAGATAAATGAAGGTGGACTGTAATTAGATACAACTATAGCGACCGGAACCTAGTGTTTTCTATATCTAACTGTACATTTTTATGCACAATAAATTATCCAAAATGTATTGGGTGCGTTTGGCAGAAAAAAGCGCTAGCAAGCGCTTATAAGCAAAATGGCGATCGTAAGCGGTAAGCGCTGTCAAATCGTAAGTAGCTATTTTCCTCCAGGACACGATGTTAGTTTTAACCGGGGAACCTAACCTCATTTAAATATATGTTTGTAAAGTATTCATATTAAAAACTTACCAATCATGAATTTTAATAACATATATATGTTTATTCACGTCATTATTATATTACTTAAAACCAATATTGCACAAAAGAACTTATAAACTCTACTTCAAAACAAACAAATTAAATAAGCAAAATGGCGGATTGTGTCAGCGCTACTGAAGTAGCAATCGTGTCCTGGCCGAAAACTATTTTGGCGCTTGTAAGCGCTTGCTAGCGATTTTTTCTGCCAAACGCACCCATTGTGTTCCCTATGGCGGTGGCGTAACTAAAGCGATATAATGACGTCACTGGCGTTTGAATATACATTTTAGAAAAACAAATTTAAATTTTAAAATGACATGTAAGATCCATTGTTAATTTTTTTTTAATTTTTCCTAATAATTTTTAGTAAGCTCAAAATAAAATTAAAAAAAAAAACATGCAAGTTCTCTATTGAAATATATTGTCATCCAATATAATAATAACAACTATCGAAGAATCTTGATATTATGTGAACCATGCTCGTTTCTTTTCCCCTTGTAGTAAAGCTACAACTCGATCAGACTACAGAATCGATTCCCACATAATGCAAAACTGTTTATTATGGCTAAGCTTCTTGTCACGGGGTGGGATAAACTTAAATTTTATTTATTGCAATAAATCTAGCACTAGCATTGCGTGTTGTCACCATCAGCGTGTTGAAGTCAATGGTTGGACATAGTGAATGCAATCCGGATTCTTCGAAGTTCGAAAATAACTGGAAAATCCGGATTTTCCAGAGTTTTATAAATCCGGTTTTTAAGACCATTATTACCAAATACGGATTTTTCGGATTTTAGTGAAAATTGAGTTTAATGGACAATATTTTGCATTTATCCACAAATTTTCATTCTAACTAATGAGTAGTTAGGTGTTACGTACTCTAATACGCAAATTCGCGCAATATTTGAATTGGATAGTTAGATATACAGCTCATAATTTTTTTATAAAATCATTAGACAGTCAAGACACGGTGTCTGCCAGGCAACTGGCAACGTCATTGAAACGGAGAATTAAAGACAGGTGACTCTATAATATTGTCGGTGCCTTACAATACTTACCCAACCCTAATCAATTTTTAAATGAGACTAAGTAGGACGAAGATAAGTTTAAAAACCTACGTATGATGAAATTAAAAATTTGATCTATCAAGCTGCAACCCTGGATGCTGACAATTACACGACCACGTCGATTAATACGAACTCTATTTCAGAAACTCTGATCCATCGCCGCTCAGTTTTAAAGAAAAGCTCAATCGTTAATTTTCTCTTGCAAGTGTGGGTAGTGATCATTAACACCAGTCAACGAGTGCAATCAGCGCAACTGATTAACGTTGAAATGGCTTCATTTGAAAACTGTGGAGGTTGTGGAGAACTCCTACGATCTAAGATCTCGTTTTTTAAAAAAAGGGTGACTAATATATGTGTTCTAAATTGCTGAGCGACCTTGAGCGTCCTCATACGGCCAGCAGTAAAGGACCACGTTTCAGATCCATAAGTCACCACTGGCAACACGCACTGGTTGTACAGTCCCGTTTTTAGGTTTTGAGATATACTTGAAGAGAAGATATGTCGTAATTTTCCGACCTGCCAATCCTAGTTGAATCCGTCGATTGACTTCTCGGTCCAAGTTGGACTTACCTAGTCGGACTAGTCCACATACGCCAGGCAAAGTAGCAGATTGTACTCTTTGGTCTTCTCTACAATCTTCCGTAGGATATGTATGTGGTCTATGGTACTGCCTATTCGAGAACCGGCTTGCTTGGGAGGCTGGAACTTGTCGAGTCTGCGTGCGAGACGATTCGTAATGACTCTCGAAAACGGCACGTAGACACGGCTTAGAAGGGAAATTGGTCTGTAGTTCTTCAAGAGAGCGTTGTCACCTTTCTTGAGGAACACCACCACCGCACCTGTGCTCGACACCTCCGTAGTGCCACCATGGAGGACGGAATTAAAAAGCTTCTCAAAGACTTCAAGTAGCGGTTTTCCAGCCGCTTTCAGATGCTCCGCTGTGCTTGTAATCTCGCCTGAGACCTTGCCGTTTTTAAGGTGCTGGGGAGCCATTCTAATCTCGCTCAGATTGACGTCCGGTATATCATCGGAATAGTGTCGGATAAGACTTGCTCTTTGATCGTTACTCACACTTCCGTGTGGCTCCAACGATGATGTGTCCCATATAACCTCTCAATCTCACTCAAAATCTCAGGTATCCCGGAAACGATGCCACCACACTCAGTCTTCAGCATTGAAAGTTGGCTCTTTCTGACAGACAGACCTCAAACAAAGACTTTGGAGCCCTGGTTCCGCTCAATCGCTTCTTCAATAGGAGCTGTATTGAAGTTGCGTAAGTACTACCGCATGTATTTGGAGATCTGTCTGTTCAGTTGCCTGTATGCTGTCAATTCTGCTGATGATTGCAGCCTCACCTATCGTCTAACAGCTATGAGATTAAGAGTGTGATCGGAGAGTTTTTGTGTTCTTCTACGGCGGGTCTTGCAGAACTTAGCTCCAACCGCTTGGACAATTTCCACGAGCTTGTCATTCATATTGTCCACTGTATTGCAATCTTCCAGGCACTGACAACGGCTTTGTAACTCCAGCTGAAAGGTTTCGGGATTTTTCGACAGAGCGTTGACTTCATTAGACGAGACCTCTCCAACTTAACGTTTAGGTTCAGTGTGCCTCTAACCATTCGGTGATCGCTGCCAGTTTTCACCCTTGCGATCACTGAGACATCACTGTACAGTTGCCGTGGTGTCGTCATAATGAATTCAATCTTATTTTTTGTCGAACCGTCGGGGCTCTACCAGGTCCACTTTCTGTGGGACCACTTCTGAAAGAAAGAGTTCATCATATAGAGTCCCTCTTTCTCCATGAAGTCGGCCAGCTGCTGGCCCCTTGGGTTCCGTTGCCTTATCCCAAATTTCCCTACATTCAGCTCACCGATTTTTCTTGTGCCTAGCTTTGCGTTAAAGTCTCCCATTAATACCGTATAGTGGGTTTTGGAGAAATGCATGGCTCTAGAAATATCCTCATAGATTTTCTCCACCTCCTCATCGGGATGTGCCGACGTTGGTGCGTAAACCTGTACGACCTTCAGCGAATACCGTTTGGTGATTGTGAGTATAAGGTACGCAACCCTCGTCGACACACTCCCAATCTTTATAAAGTTGTTAACCAGAGACTTGTGGACAATAAATCCAACACCTCCTTGGGACAGATGGTCATCCTCCCGTTGATAGAACAAGTTGTCGGATTCGAGAGTCACCGTGTCCTCCCCCTCTCTTCAGACCTCGGATAATCCTATAGTATTCCAACGCAACTTGTCTATCTCTTCTTCCAGCTCCAGGATCTTCTCGTTAGTCCTCAGGGTGCGTGCGTTGTAATTTGCCAGTTCGAGTCATTTCAGGTGGCAACTGAAACTCCACCGGAGATTCTTAACACCCTAGCACATGCCTCGCCGTTACCATGGTCGCCGCCGTAGCCTGGAATAGCGGGCCGCTGGGGACTGGGGGCCGTCTATTTGCGTCGTTTCTCATGGTAGGTTATTGCCATAGTTGCCACGCTTGGCGAGCGGGTTGGCAACCGCAGTTTTTTGTTGTACAGTTGCTGCTATCAGGAAGAAACTGCTGCCCATCTCCTGCCTGTTTCCCTCCGTCGCCTTTTACGACACCCACGGGAAGATATGGGCTATTGGATATGCTTAACCGCCACTACACGGTATACCACCACTACACGGTTTTAGTTTATTTTGGTTGATTTTATTCCGTCGTGTCTGAATAAATGCAGATTTTAAATGATTTATGCTGTTTTACTTTAGTTTTATCAAATCACCTTAAAACTTCGAAAAATCCGGACTATCCGGATTTTATTCATAGAAAATTTCAAAAATCCGGATTTCAAAAATATCCGGATTTTGCAATCTCTAGTTGGACATTTGCCTCGCCAGCTGCAGAGAAGATGTCTTGATTGTCACGCTTGGCAGATAGACAATCGCAGTGCAAGACGTGAATACCTTTGACGATGCTCACAGTCGCTGAGTTAGGCATTTGCGTCTGGTCTAAACAAGATTGCAATAGTGCCATCTACTGCAAAACCAAGGGATTTTTCTGCTTTCCCATTGTCGCCTCCTACGCCTCCCACGGGACAATGTGGTGACAGTTTCTCATACGCCACCACCACAGGGTTAAGTAATAAAAACATTTAAAACGCTCGCCTATAAATTTTACTTTTTATTTAAATTGACTAGTACTATTTTAATTGAATTAAATGATATAATCTTAATATACTTACATGGTGGTGTGTGACTCGTTGGTGTACTATATCCCAAATACGGTGCCATGTACGGATAAAACCTGTTAAAGATAAAAATAAAATCATTATTATAAAAATAATACGTAATTAACAACCTATATAATTGGTAGAGCTACGCTGTGGCTTAATTGTAGCACGAATGGGTCGGCTCGACTAATGAAAGACCACGAGAATACCAGCGTGAAATACCAGTTTAATGCTGCAGTATTACATATGGTGAGTGTAGAGAACCTTGAACCCTTTTAAATGGAAACGAGGCATTTCGTCTTAGCCCTCGGGGGTGACAAAAATCTGTGTTTTGATTCGTAATTGTGGATAAATGTTATTGGTCACAGCATCCATTCACCATTAGATGGACTGTGTGCTCGTTAGTCGTTCTTATTCTATTAAAAAAAATTAAGTTGTGGCACTATACTAATGACAGAATCAATCTCTATATTTCTATATTTATAATAATCTCTATATTTATTCAATTGTCTGTTAGTCTCTGTAAAACTCAAATACTGCCGGACCGATTTTGATGAATTTTTTTTTGTGTGTTTGAATAAGTCCCTGGATGGTATTTTTCACAATTGGACCCGGTAGGTGGCGCTGCTGTCGAGATCCAGAAATCACCCGTGTAAAGCCAGGATGAATCGCTAGTTATAAATAAACTAGAAATCAATTTATTAACTTTACATCAAATCAATAGCGCATACTTTAATAAACAATGTATAACTGGATACCGCACAAAACTATCGCTTATAAACGAATTACTACACTAAACTCTGCCTGTGGCCGGATAAAAGAGGAGGGATGGTTCCACTGGAGAGTGAGTATATCCGGTGGACTAACACGCGCCGTACGCGGCGATGAAGGAATCCTGAAGGGTAAAGCTTATCGTCACTGGGGTATATAGTGGTGCCAGGCAACACGCCCTCTTTGGTCCAGATTTCAAGCTAAACGTGGCTCTATTTGCTAGACACAGATATGGGAAAAAGCGCCACGTCAGAACGCTTTAAGGCCCAACATAAAAAGGAGATGTGTCAGAAGTAACTACCAGAAGCACAAACACACAAGGGGAAACTGCCAGTAAAATGAGGATTTGACAGAACACGTCATCCAGCGTAATTAAATAAATAAAAAATCCAGCGCGGAATTTCCTTTAATCGGGCAACCTACCGAGGAACTGGCTTTAGGAGCCCCTAAAAGCAGTTCCACGGAGCTGGATACGGATAAGGAACAATGTAATAGCAATACTTCTGCAGAGCTTCTTAGAACGAATGCCCTCTTTTCAGCTGCATGGAAATTGGTGAACCTATCCCGCCAGAGAGCGGAAAAAAGGTAAAAAAGAAGAAGCAGAAAGAGAAAGCCCGTAAAGAAAGGACGGAGCTAGCTGCTCACAAAATTAATACCAAAGAGGCTAGGCAAGCTGCTGTTCCTACGTTGCTTGGACCTGGATCCAATAGCCGTACTGAAACTGGAAAGGATAACCCACCTCAAGTATAAAGAATGGCCGTAGGGAGTAGTTCCAAGAAAACCGCCAGGAAGTAGAGAACGGCCAAGCGTCATGGTAAGAAAGAAAGAGCAGCTAAAAGGAGGCTAGACGAGACTACCTCGCCGAGAGGCTGCAAAGACCAGCTATACTTCCATTGTTAAAGCTGACTGTATCTTAAAGATGTGGTCTGACGACCAGAAGGCTTTGGATTGGTTGAAGGGGAACTTAAATCCAACACCTCGCAGGTCATCAAGAGACAATCGGGAAAGGGTTAAATGCGGTATCCTAATCCCAGACGCCCATGGGCCTGGAATGACTCACGCGACATTGGTCGTGTGCTGGCGTACCAGAACCGCTGGGTAAATATAAAAGATTAGCTGTTGCTCAAGGCCAACAAACGGATGGGTGGTTCCTCGTTGTTTCAGTGCCGGAGGACAATATCCCTATCTGGTTGAAAGCTGGACGCCGCCTCGCATATATATAGGGGGCGGTCTATATAAAATTCCATGGTCATGGAGGTAAATTCCACGATACTCCACCGAATACAGAGGCGGAAAACAACCCAGAAACCACGGATACTGGTGCCATGGACACTGGGGCAGCAGGATCACTGAAACCCAAGACCAGTGACAAAACGGCCTACAAGACTAAGCCGAAGCCACCAGTATAGATCGATCTCAGCTGCAGTTCACTGAGTGACGAGGATGTCTGCAACTTGCCGTCCAACTGCAACTCAATAGCTGACGATGAGACCCGAGATTTACTGACATTCTTATTTTTTAACGGGGACGAGAGGACACGGTCAATGACGACGTGCCCTTCGTCCAGAACTAGCCTCGTGCGGGGCAACCTCCACCACAGCGAAACTGCGTCGGCTCAACTACGCAAGTGGTTGGAGACTCAACGGACGGCGATAGCCCGAATCCAAGAGCCGTGGGTTGTGGCTGGTAAAATCAAAGGCCAGAACAACCTAAAAGGTTGGCCGGAGGAAGACCCATGACCTCGTAAGCTTAGTGGATTTCTGCTATAGAACTGGGCTAGAGGACGGACTCCAACGCGCATAATCCCCTCTGGGGAATGGATAAACCCAATGAATGAGGTAAGTTGTTAACTAAATATCTTTTTAGCACTGACCTAACCATTTTAAATACAGGTTCCGAACCAACCTTCATAAAAAACTCTGTTGAACAATAATCAGAGATGCCACGTATAGTCGAATATGATTACTCTCCATTCCTCATGGCGAATAGACGAACACTCGCTAATATTATTCGAAATAAAAAAAGAATATACAGAATAATTTATTTGTTATCAAATAATAATCAGCCTTTAGTGCAGCCGTCTATGCAACAAGTATTTGAAAAGACAAAAACTCTGGGACATCAATGACTCTCGTGCAAAAAAGTACCATTACTTGAGTGTCGAAATGATCGCTTTGGACAATGAGCCCTTGTCCGTCGTCGACCATAATATAGGATTTAAACGTCTGATTAATAATGCTTTGCCGCAATATTCTATTCCTAGCAGGATATACTTCATTGAGAAAAACATTCAAGACATGTATGAGAGACCGGTTACCAAAATGCAGAACGAGTTAGAAGCATCTGAAACGGTAGCATTTAACACCGAGATGTGGACTTGTTCAGTAAATAATGCCGCATTTCTGAGTAGCCGTGTAGTGGCGGTTAAGAATATCCACTACCCCATATCTTCCCGTGGGTGTCCTAAGAGGCGACAGAGGGAGACAGGCAGGAGATGGGCAGCAGCATCTTCCTGATAATAACAATAATATAATAAAAAACTGCAGTTGCCAACCCGCTCGCCAAGCGTGGCAACTATGGCATTATACCCCCCATGAAGAATTACACAAATAGACCGCCTCAGTCCCCGGCGGCCCCGCTATTCCTGGCTATGATGGCGACCATGGTAACGGCGGGGCAGGGGGTGCTAAGAATCTCCGGTGGCGGTTCGGTTGCCACGTACGACGACTCGACCTGGCAACATATAACGCACGCACACTGAGGACTGACGAGAAGATCCTGGAGCTGGAAGAAGAGATAGACAAGTTGCGCTGGAATATTATAGGATTATCCAAAGTCCGAAGAGAGGGGGGAGGTGATTCTCGAATCCGGCAACTTGTTCTACCACCGGGAGGGCAAACATCTGTCCCAAGGAGCTGTTGGATCTATCGTCCACAAGTCTCTCGTTAACAACGTTTTAAGATTGGGAGTGTAACGACGAGGGTTGCGTACCTTATACTCAGAATCACCAAACGGTATTCGCTGAAGGTCATACAGATTTACGCGCCAACGTCGGAACATCCCGATGAGGAGGTGGAGGAAATGTATGAGGACATTTCTAGAGCCATGCATTCCTCCAAAACTCACTATACGGTGTTAATGGGAGACTTCAACGCAAAGCTGGGCACAAAAAAGAATGGTGAGCTGAAGGTAGGAAAATTTGGGATATGGCAACGGAACTCAAGGGGCCAGCAGCTGGCCGACTTCATGGAGAAAGAGGGACTTTTTATGATGAACTCTTTCTTCCAGAAGCGGCCCCACAGAAAGTGGACCTGGTCGAACCCCGACAGTTTGACAAAAAACGAGATTGACTTCATTATGACGACCAGACGACAACTGTTCAGTGATGTCTCAGTGATCGCAAGGGTGAAAACTGGCAGCGATCACCGAATGGTTAGAGGCACATTGAACCTAAACGTTAAGTTGGAGAGGTCTCGTCTAATGAAGTCAACGCTCCGTCCCCCCTCGTGCTCTAATCCAGAATCTCGAAACCTTACTGCTCGAGTTACGTAACCGCTTTCAGTGCCTAGAAGATTGCAATGCAGTTGACGATATGAATGACAAGCTCGTGGAAACTGTCCATGCGGTCGGAGCTAAGTTCTGCAAGACCCGCCGCAGAAGAACACAAAAACTCTCCGATCACACTCTTAATCTCACGGCGGTTAGACGGGAGATGAGGCTGTAATCGTCAACAGATTTGACAGCATACAGGCAAGTGAACAGACAGATCTCCAAATGCATGCGGCGAGACTTATGCAACTTTAATACTGCTCGTATTAAAGAAGCGATCGTACCAGGGCTCCAAAGTCTTTGCCAGAGATCTGTCTGCCAGAAAGAGCCAACTGTCAAAACTGAAGACTGAGTGTGTCAGCATCGTTTCCAGGACACCTGAGATTTTGAGAGAGATTGAGAGGTTCTATGGGCAGCTGTACACATCATCGTTGGAGCCACACGCAGGTATGAGTAACGATCCAAGAGCAAGTCTTATTCGACACTATTCCGATGATATCCCGGACGTCAGTCTGAGCGAGATCAGAATGGCTCTCCAGCACCTTAAAAACGGCAGGGTCTCAGGCGACGATGGAATTACAGAGGAGCTTCTGAAAGCGGGTGGAAAACCGGTACTTGAAGTCCTTCAGAGGCTCTTCAATTCAGTCCTCCATGGTGGCACTACTCCGGAGGCGTGGAGCAGAAGTGCGGTGGTCTTGTTCTTTAAGAAAGGCGACAACGCTCTCTTGAAGAACTACAGACCGATTTCCCTTCT